TTACTGTGTATTTAAATAGATTTAGAAAAAACAAGCCAACCTAAGAATATACTGATGCCTATACACTTCATAGATGTTTAGAAAAATGCCAGTACCAGAGGTCTACCAGAGGCGTAAGTATCATCCATGATAGAGCCACAAAGCTTTATTAATGCCAAGCGATATTCTTCTAGACAATTTACGGTCAGGCTTGAGATGTTAACCAGTTTATAAAAAACTGTGTAGGAGAAACGCTTGATGAGCAACACTTTTTCTTCAATAACAATGTAACATCTAATTTCTCTTTTTTCCAACTTGTGAGAAGGTCTATTTTTATCCCATAAGGTACTGATTTTTGTACACATACCAGATAATTAAAAACATTTTAAGACAAGCTCAAGTACAGACTAATTTATATTGGCATTAACAGAGTTGCACCTGCCCATGCCAGCTTTGAATTTGGATCTCTCCCATTCTGATGTTCTTCAGCAAGACATTCCCTAAGTTTATCAGTGGTATGGCAAATGGTAAGATAAAATGTAATGGCAAAAACTTACGGATTCCAGTGTTCTTTAGAAATCCTATAAAGGCTGGAAAACATGATGGGAAGTATAACATTTGAATTCTCCTCTATCAAACTCATGATGTATTCATTATTCCAATAATACAGCGCTCTTTCGGCCACCTTGAGTCAAAGGAATAAAGTATTAACAGCAATTCAGATACCTATAATTTTGTAATTTTCTGAAGGAAAAACAAATCACAGAGAAATTTCACAACGATGAATTAACAGCAATCATTAACTTTGGAATTAAAACTGTACTTTAATCAGTAGCATAACATGCATTAATGGGATTAAGTTTTTATCCTATAATTCAGATCCCACAGCATCCATTCTCTCTTTCCCCTGAGTGATATGTTGTTACTCACTGAAGACCAGGTGCAGACACTGCATTAATGCTGCAGCTGCGGAGGGGAAGGGAGAGCAGACAGACTTCCCATCGCCCCTTTCCCTCAATCCTGTGACTGCAGTCGGAAGGAAGAGAGCAGTGCTGGGATACCAGAGGAAGGAGACAGGGAAAGGCCCAGTAGCTGGGCTGAATAAGGGAGGAGAGATGTTAAGCGTGGGGAAGGTACCAATGATAATAAACACCTTGGGGAAGAGCTGGGGGGGGAGGAGGGAGAGCACTGATCTAAATTATGCTAAAAACAAATGTAGACCAAGGAAGAGCTGAAACCAGTCACATAGGCCTTTGTGCCAGGATAGGTCACCTAGCTTAATACGGAGACGCTCCAGGCCATGAATCCTATCTTCTCTTCACATATGATTCAATTTAAATCCTATTCTTTCCCCTTCTTCCTGTTGTGCCATGTGAAGAATACAGGCTATGGGTTCTATCACCTCTAACCAGACATCTCCTTACAGAAGGAAATAAGTAGGAAAACAAGAATGCTGCACAATACTGCACTAGAAGAGGGAGCAAATACATCCTACGTGGTCTATCAGTCCGAAGGCCATATGGTGAGTACCCGTCACCTACAGTCAGAAGGGCTCAAAGTTTGCTTGGATACACTTTAAGGCCTTATGTGGCTCAGAACGGCAAGTTCTGTGCTGTAACCCCAGACACATCTAACAAGTTATTCATGGAGCTCAAAACTTCCACTGCAACATACACTCTTCTGTAGAAATCCAGAAAAGTATTTAAAACCACATACCATAAAATAATATTTATATTTGGGGGGTGTTACGTTTGAAATTGAGACTATACGTTCCTATACAAACAATAACCTCTACCACTGACCTGAAAATGAGGGCTAGAGACACACTTGGCAATTTGTTTAAACAAGGGTTCCTGGATTTTGACAAATTGTGATGGTTCGATTACATCCAAGATTTCCTCCAGCTCTCCTAGGAACATGACCTAAAGACAAGGAAGGAAGCATTGAATATAAAACCTCTGAATCATCTTGATCAGCAAAATGCTGGTAACCCTCAAATTCTACCACTTCAGGGAGAAATGGAAGCCTCACTAGCTCAGTAAGACCCTCTCTCAAAAAACGTGATACCTTTAGCAGCTTCTGGATTCAGAGTGTGAATTAAGAGGACGAGTGTGTGCAAATGCTGTATTTAAAGTAGTCCTTACAACAAAATTCAGAATTGCACCAGTACATCCATGCTGAAAACCTAGCCTCATACAGACAAAGACTTTGGCCAAGGCTTAAACTGTGTTAACTAAGCAGAGTCTCTTAATTTTACCTCATTTTTGGAAGCAATACTCAACAGTTTTGCTGTGTCACAAAATCTCATTAGGGAAACTCAGATTTGCATCAAGAATTTGAAATAAAAATGCAAATGTCTAACCACATCTTTTACATGTTTAGTACATAAACACCAGACGGTAAAATATCTTTCATCCTCCCTGGAAAAATATTATCCTCACATATAAACAATTCCAAATCTAACAGAATTTTCCAATCTATCCTCAACTATGTTTATTTTCTCCTTTCTAAAACAAAAAGAAATTCTCTGCAGAAGAACCAGTGCTTATTTTGTGAATAGAAACCATGGTTATCAAACTTTTCTTTTCATAGTCAAAACTGTCCAAAAAAACAGAATTGAAGTATGGAAAAAATCAGCTGCAAGAATTAATACCAAGATCCACCACAGCACGTACTATCTACCTGGAAATATCTAAAGATTCCCTACTTATTATATTGTAGAACAAAATAACTCTTATGTTTCGTTAATACTAGCATATCACTTACCTCTTTCTGACTGCAGGTTTTTGGCCAGAATTTCATTAAACCTCTAATGACCTAAATTAGAAGGAAAAAAAAAAAAGTTAGATTTTTTACTTTTCTCTCAACAGAGAGAAAGCTGTTTATGATGGGGCGGGGGGAAGTACGAAAGAAATATTTACTGGTTCTGTGAGTGAGGGGTCTTTCTCCAGAAACTGTACTATGCAATACGCCAGCTGTGAAGAGGTAAAGATTTAAGAAAACAAAGTTAGAACACTTCTATAAAGAAACCATAAAGAAACAATTTTTAAACAAAGAGAGACTCAAGGTAAGATGCTATACAGCTTTCTCAAATTGCGAAATTGCATCCAGTTTTAAACTGAGGTGCATCGTTTGCACTGTGCAAATCCACTCCAAGTTCAGTTCATAAGAAACAACAGAACACGTTACAAAAAAAAAATTAGGGTGACAAAGTAGCATATACAATAAAAATCAGAGCAACTTAGAATTCTAAATACAGTCATACAACCAATGTTCTGAAGCTTCTGTTACTCTCTGAAACTGCGCCTTTTTACACATTTTATACATTGTCAAAATCATGAATGCTCTTGCAAGATGAGCCGACACAGCTAAAACCTGGAATAACATATTTAGAAAGCACAGCTTTATCAGCACGAGAAAGACTGCACTATCTCCAAATTAGAGAGAAAGGCAACAGGTATCACTTATCAGAGGAAAAATTACGTCACGAAAGCTGAATGTGTAAAAAGATATAAGAGCATAAATGCAGTATTGAGAAATCTGTGAGGGAGAATGTTAAACATTATGCAAAATCGTGGGTATCAGTATTCAGAAAGTTGCCAGAGTGAAGAAGAGCCTTGACAGCACAAGACTAAGGAAACCCAAACATCCTCTTGGGAGAGGGAATGGGAAAGGCAAACTTGTGAGAATGAGAAAATAGCAGAGAGGAAAACATAAAGACAGAATTTAACTACTAAACAAAATCCCCAAAACATTACACATGTATGTTAGACTTTTAATTATCTAATCAGAAGCAAGACATTTATCATACAAAGCACATTAAATGAATTGAAAAAAAAAATCTATTGCATTTTTTCCACATTTCAAAACTTCCCTCCCACCTTTTATGTGCTACACAATTAAATTTCCAAAGCAACCTTAAAAAAAAAAAAAATCATTCTAACTAAGCAGAAAATATTTTTGTAATTTCTACCTGCGCATGGAAGAGTGATAAACTCCTGACAGTATGTAAAGGGATCAGCACCTTCACCAGAAACTGTTTATGCTCTGCCTTAAGAGGTAAAGCAAAACCATTGATAATACTAGAAATTAGAAGAGAAATATTTGTTAGTGTTATCATCACAGAAAACATTCTCGACATCTGAACAAGCACTTTCTAGATTAAAATAATTTAGCAGTCAGCACTTGTTTACAAATAGCAGGCTCATGCCATTTGTAAACAGGTGCTGACTTTTGTCCCGCTTTATATTAGCAGTGCAGTACATATCTAGGTAGCAATTCAGCTCCAACTTAGGCACAATCATATAAACAGCTGCACAAACCTGTTGCGAAACAGATAAGACCTTGTCTACGTGGTCTGTAAATTCATGTAAGCAAGGTGTTCTTGAGTAATTAACTTACCAGAATTAGATTTACTTGAAATATTCACACTGTCAATGTGCTCAAAAAAAAAAATTCTGCAGCATGTAAGGATGATGTGTACGAAATTTAAGACACACACAAAATCAATCCAACACTTCTGGCTGTAGCTTGTGTCCAGTTATATACTCTTGGCAAAGATGTGACAGAGATTTCCACATGGGCTTAAAGATGAGCATGTGTGCACATCTGTTTTCAGAATCAGGGCTTATAGTAATACTTTTTCCGAATCCAACACTATTCTGATGTGTCCAGAAGGGAAGTTTGAGATAGATAATAAATAAAGACTCGTTTACCTTCCTAAAATTTCCAACAGTTCAGCTACGCCATTGAAGTGTTCAGTTTCATAAACAAATCTAAAAAAAGAAAAGTTAAATATAAGTAATATATCAGTTTCCTAAAATGTTCATAAGCGAAAAGTACCTTCTCCCACAACTTACCGTAGAAAAATATTATTAATCTGTTTTCGGATAAATGCTCTAAGACCCAGAAACTTGCCATAAATTCTGTGCAAGACTGTTTTTAGGTAGTCTCGTTCTCGAGGGTCTTCACTGTCAAACAGCTCCAACAGCTGTATTTAAAGGAAAAACAGAACTGAAACAGTAGACATTTGACAAGTATGACACACAGACTTCTATATGAAAGTTAAATTCATGAAAGCACATGTATGTAAGAATGTGATATTCGTGTTACCCAAGGTGTAGAAATACAGTATTAAAAAATCTGTTGTAACCCCAGTACAACATCATGAAACTCGGTTTATTAATTTCCACTTCTGACATAACAAAACTTTGGAAATCTTCAAACAGCTAATAAACTTTTGATTAACTGGCTCAAAAATGCTGCCTGCCTTCTCCCCCAAAACAAATAAAATAAATTCTTAGATGCTGTCATATCTACAAAATAAAACAGTTTGCCTCTTACCAGTCACTATTCTTTCACCCTGCAGAACTAAAAGATCCTCATTTGCTCTTAATATTTTGTTCCCACAACACTGTGTCAAGGTCACATTTTTCTAATTGCTTGTAATTTAAATTATGAGCTCTTAAGCCTTCCTAGCAATTGCATGGCCTTCACGCTGTGGAAAGACTGAACAGTGCCAGCATTGGCTCTGCTGTTACAGGATCTCCACCACTCAACACAATCCAAAGCATCAGGGGGAATTAAACGTCCAGGTTGAACAAAATGGTAACTTCCATATCCAGCTTAAAAAACAAACAAACAAACAAAACCCAAAACAACAACAAAAAAAACCCAAAAAACACAAAACCCAACAACAGAAAACCCACCTTTACTAAGTAACTCTTAAACAGCAAAATGATTATGTGGTACTCGGTCAAAAGAGAACGCCACCCAGTGTCTTGTATGGTACAAAATATATCCTGAAACACTGACACCTGAAGTTGCCTCTAAGAATTAAGGCATGAAAGGAGCAGCAGGAAAAAAAAGCAGCAGTAAGATCACCTGCAGATCTTTGTTCTGTTCCCCTTGAATCCTCTGCCACAAAAGTATGAGCTTCCCCCTACCCTTTCTTCTTCATCATTTTTGATACCACAATATTGGCTATTCTGGCAGACATTTGGAATAAGTTAGAAGGTAAACTTAAATTAAAACCCAAACAAACCAACAAACAAACCCAACCCCCCCCCCAAATGCACAGAAAATAGGGAAGTTTAAGGTAGTAATCATAAGCAACCAGTATCTCTCTTGCATGAAAAAGAAAGTAACTGTCAACCAGTACCTGTCTTGCAAGAGAAACGAAGACAGTTTGCCAAAGAGGTCTTACAAATGTATAAGATGCTGTCATAAAATTATTACAGGAACGGTAGAAAACAAAATTACCTTGGATTCACAAATAGATAAATTATAAATACCTATTATATGCAGATGTGCCAGTGTATGTATACTACCTGATCTCTGTTAAACTGCTACACAACTTTGAGGAGGTGACAAAGAAAAAAGACACAAAAAGATGATTAAAAGTCGTTAAGCTGCCTGAGATTTTGCTTTCTAACAGCCAGGTTTAGGACAGATGTACGTATTCTTCTTCATTGTTTTGGATGTTTCTGTAGCTTGTAATGAGATCCCACTATCTTTTCCTTGCAATAAGAATCTGTAGTGGGAATTTCATGAGGAAACAATGAGGTTTGTCAGCTGCCCTCCAGAGGTTATAAACACATTGCTTTGTTCAATTAGTTCTACAGTTAAATAAATAAATAGTCACCTCATCTTTCCCCAAATAGCAAATTTCACCCAAAGACAGCAAACAGCTGGAAACACTTATGTTTTTAATTTTCTTACTGGATTGCTTTTAGGAGCAAAATATTTGTATTTCCAGCTCTGTTATACAGATCCTCTGTGGAAGCATTGCTGAACTAAGACTCAGTCTCTCATTTTAAAAAAAAAAAAAAAAAAAAAAAAAAAAAAGACACTTATTTTGATATGTCCAATTTGTCATCAGCTTTCAACAATAGTCTTATTTTTAAGCTGCAAGACTTCCATAATTTACGTGATTATTCTGACACTAAACATACAGAGAAAAGGGAAATAAATTTTCCAAAATAGCAACCTACATAACACAGACACTTGTGGATATATTTGAATAGTATGTCTCTTAGCAACCACTGCCAACCATTTCAGACTGTACATAAGCAGGCCTTAGAAATGAACAGTTACACTGTTAAGTACAGCATTTTATCAAAACATACAGCTGAAAGCCAGAAATACATCTATAGTCAAAAAACAAAAGCAAAAAGCAAGCAAACAAGAAAAAGATTGAAAAATGCCCATTAAAAAAACTGTATCATTTTTTCATATAGGCATTCTTACTGCCAAGAAACACTTCATTGAAGTTCCTCAAATTTAAAAAAAACAAAACCAAATTAATTTAGAGAGAAAGCTGATTTCAAAGACACTCACACTTGTGTTGTCAGTGTCATGAAACACCAAACATGCTTAATGTTCCTAAGTCTCGCATTCGTTCCCTATGATCTGTAGTCACAGATTCTTAGACATTACTCTAAACACACAACAAATACAATAAGAAGTGGAAGGACACTCCCATTCCTACAGGCTAAATGCAAACACTTACACACGTGGAAATATATCTACTTGCATGGATATATAAGGCTCAACAGAACTTTTTCAAGAAAAATGTGAATTTTAAATTGACACACTGTGCCTAGCAATATATAAAAATGCATCACCTAACCATGTGGCAAGAACTTACAAATTCTTAGAATTCTTTTGAACTCGTAATTGTCGTATCATACATTTTCAGATATGTAGGTTTCAAAATCTCCTATTTCCCCATTTCAGTTGATACCATTGTTTCATTTAGTAGATTTATTAAAGACTAACAAGACTAATAAAAAAAAAATCCTTGTTTTAGATCCATTCCCCTGTGCCAAACTGTAACACGTTTGAACGCCTTGAAAGGGCGTGAGTGAGATGCCACCAGCCATGACCAAGTTCAGCAGCACATAATAGGAGCATCTAGGAATTTGTTCGTCTAGATTTTGAAGTCAAACACAAGCATTCCTTCTAATGCAATCCTGCTGTATCTAAAGAAAATAAGATCAGTCTGGAAAAACCCGTTGAGACTGATTACCCCCCATGCATATTCTTACATCTCCACCAGGTACTGGATGATCAGATTGGTGCATGCCCTTGTTCAAATCAATATTTAGATGAACAAAAACAGAACTCCACCATAGAGGTTTGATCCAGATGAAAAATGCTCTTGTATTTAGAAGATGGATAAAATAAAAACATAAGTATATCCCATTGCTTTTGTAGGGTGAAGAAGGTCTTGTGATACTAATAAGGAAATTGAAGTCCCTTCTTTGAATCTTTGCATTTAACGATAGAAATTGTTCTCTTAGCTACATTTTTCAGGTATTCTTCATACAAATAACATACAAGGACAGTAGAAGCACTACTTTTATTGCCTAAAGCACTACAGGGAAAAATAAAAGCTCCATGACAAAGAGGTGAGAGAAAGATCTTCAGAAATGCTGAGTATCTCCTGCCACTTCTAGTTTGGCTTTTATTCAAGTCTCAGCCCGCAAGGAAACTCCCTTTTCTAACTAAGTAGGAATCTTTCTAAATTTCCCTGATTTCAAAAGCAAGCTATAGAGAGCATTAAACATGAAGTTCCTTCTGACTTTGCAGTTATACAAAAATTCACAATGGGAGCAGAAAACACAAGACACGCCTATTCCTGAAAGCTGAAGACAAAAGTCATAACTGTGGAGTTTCCTGGCTTATCCCAGAAAACATCTTCCTGCAGCCACCTCTGTTCTGGTGTCTGTCAAGGCCTGGACGAAAATTCCTCAGTAGAGAAGACCAACTACTGTAGTTTCAAGTGAAATAACACAGCACACAAGAAGCCTAGCTTGTACACAAGGAGTAAGACGATGAAATATGTGTAACATACCTGGCTACCAGCTGATGCACTGACAGAGGCCATCGCTTCCATTTAGCCATAACGACGGCAACCAAACTACAAAAATAAAGCTACCCATTCTTTGCCAGTGTTGTTTATTATTGGTGCTACTTCTTCTTCCATGATTTTCATAGAGCTTGAACTTTACATGGCCTTTTGATTTACTTCCTCCTCGACCACTATAGCATCACTGTTTTCAGTACTGCACTGGGAATAGGTTTGTTAATGAACTTCTGCACCTGTTGCCAGCTCTCCAGCAGAGATAGAAGGAAGAAATATTCTCTCCTTCCAACAGAAATATTTTAACAATATTAAGACACATTAAAACTGGCATTTAAGTAGTCTCTCTAGATAACAGCATTTTTAGACTACTTGATAGTAAACCTTTCATTTTTCAACAGTTACTATTTCAGCTCCCTCTCATAACCAGTAAGTCAAATATTTTGATTAAGGTATCAAAACTGGAGCCAAACCAACTATTGTATATATCTATAGCAACAGAGACTGATATATCAACACACAGACACACATTTCCCCTACCTCCACAGACTGAAATCGTTCATTATATATCCTTGCTTAGCCTTTTTCTGTTGCAAATAAAGCTACACTTTCAAATTCTAAACAAAATCTTTTTAAAGAAATTTTTTTCAAAAGCAAAATGAAGCCTTAAAGAAAATAGATCAGCTTACCTGCAATACAAATTTCTGATCTATGTACTTTTTGGCAATGCTGGGCTGAAATTCTTGGCTTTCCAAAAATCGTATGAAAAACTCATATACAAGCTGCAAAAGAGAAAAAAAAAAAAAAACCAACCATGGCTTAGTTTATGATTTGATTACTCTTTAGAGTTTTAAGTATTTCCCTAAACTCTTTTGCTAGAAAATAAAATACTCATTTTTCCACAGAGCAAAAGGTTAAAAAGATGAAAAAGATTTCTCTGCTTTATCAAATTGCTACTTTCGAGTTAGAATTAATTACATGGACTTTTAAAGTTTGTTTTGCTTATTTAACTCCAGTCAAAGACATATCATCATCAAGAACAGGCACTGCCATCTTGTAAAGCTTGTTATCATCTTGTAAAGCTTGCTAGAGGAATTGGAAAGCACATCTAAACTGCCCTCTGAACTGCTGCAGTCACATCAAATACAGACATTACAATTCTGAAAGGGTTGGTGAAACCGTTGGAAATACTTAAATTAAATTAGAAACTGCTTAGAGTAGCGTTCTACTACAAGTTGAAACACAGAAGAAGAACACAAACCGGAATTTATTCAGAACTTCTGAACTTACTATAAAGATTAGCCTCAGGGCTGGAGAAAACCTACTTACTTCCATGCAATTCCATCTCTGCCTAAACTATTCAGTGGGATGGCAACACACTTTTCATTTAGTGGAGAAAAAGAGTCTAAAAACCAGGCAAAAAGGAAGCAAAGTGAAACAGGGACCGCTGTGGCCTTGTAAGACAGCAACTCTGACCTGTCACTGATCAGATGAGCTACCAGCTAGCAATTCTCTTTGCTGAACCTTTTCAAGAAGAGCAGCCATTGAAAACTTTTTCCCTTCTGACTTCAGTGAGTATGAATATTGATACTGAAAGGAGAAAGGAAGCTAAAAATTACGCTTTAAAATAATTTTAAACTTTTTCATGCAAACACCAATATGCTGCAATACTGCTCCTGCTGCTTTATGTCAGCGTTCTCTGACGTCCCAAAGGAAACAATATGAAATCAAAAAGGGGGAGAGAGCTTTAGAAATATGACATGGAAAAAGCGACAGCTTACATAACTAATATTAAATCGTCGGGAAATCAATTCCATCGACTCCTGACAAATACCTGCATTTCTTCCTGACAACAACAAATCATCCACTGGCTAAGAAATTCCATCCTTTCCATGTAAATAATGACTTTTAAAACTACAGCACTAGTGTCAACGGACATAAGATAACAGCTATGTATGCCTGTGCTGTTTCCAGGCAGGCAGAGCTGCTGTTGAGAGCTGCCTTGAAGCTTTCAAGGTTCTTATTTTTGTGAAATTTAAGTATAAATGAGGGATGAAACCTACATTTCAACAGATTCTAAATTTGAGAGCACAAAAGAGTGAAACGAACTGCTCACAGGCAAGGATTGTGCATGCAACTGTCAAATAAAATCCTCACTTCAAGCTGAGATCAATCGCGCTCCTTTGCTCACAGAAACTCCCAGACTCCACAAACTGTTACTCAGGCAAACTTCTTCTAAATTTACTAGCGGTGTAAATCATTGTCCTGACTAACATAGGCAGGATCTGCATCTATATTTTCTATAAAGGAATCTACTGCATTAGCATCAACGATGCTTTCTCCAAAATTACTTTATGTTCTTTGTTGAAGATAGCTTGTGTTGACATCTGAGGTACAGACGAAGGGATGATACACAGCAGTGAGCATGCATCCTGCTACAAACACCTGAAAGCAAACCTCGACCCGGGGAGAGGATGGAAGACATAGATAGGCACGTAAATTCTCGTTCATTTTTCTGATCAGCTGCCAACACCTCTGTACTTTCGTCTGAAAATTAACTACCCTCAGTAAAGCAGAACTGCTAGCAGTATCATCCCCACAATGCTCTTGCTGAAGTTGCTGAAAAACACTTGTGCATCAGAGCAGTTTGGAAAGCAAAATAATTTTTAAATCAATGAAGGAAAACAGGAATATGAGGGACACCATCAATACGGTTTTGAAAGAAAGCTCTACCATTTTGCAAATTTCACAAAATACTCTCCCGTCTTTGTAGGTACTATATTATAGCCATGAACAATATTAATGAATGTTAGTGTCTCACAGACTAGTTCTGATTCACAGGTTAAAAAAAAGCTGAGAAAAACATTAGACACATTAAGCAATGATAAGCATTTCTTCTGAGATAAACGATCAAAAACCTGTAAATGTGGCCATGACGCTTCCAAGGTGGGCTCATCCTCTTCTGGATCAAATTCATTGCTGTCACTAGGTGGGAGAGTTCTGAAGATATTGCAAGATACCTGAAAAGTGAGAGAAAGAATAATGAGATCTGTTTTTCAAATAAGTACTAGATTTCAGGACTCTGTCTATACCTACTCTATCTGTCCTCCATCACATAGCAGTATTTTTTTGCCTGCTGTCTGACAAAGTTCTTTAGCAACAGTACAGGTCTAAGGAACCTGTCACTTTACAAACCTGCCACCAGCCTTGGCTTTCCTTTCTCCAGATCTTTTTGCTTCTTCTTTCCACTGATGTCTCAGCATTACCCAGCCTGCCACCAGTTCTGTCCACCACATTCCAGATGAGCCCATCAACATGTAATTCCCAGTCCTGCTGGGCATCAATGGGCTGAGAGCCATGACTGTTTCGGAGTTGCGGAAAATGCCATCAGCATGCATTTACAAGTGTTTTCATACAACACTTGGTTGTTTTCCTTTGCACAGGGAAAACATTAATGATATCTGCTTAAGGTCTCATCTGTCAGCACTTGCTAAGCGTTGCCAATGCTATTCACACATTATATGACTGGACACCTCATGCCAAGTACAGAACTTGGTACTAAATGCAAGCAACAAATAGTATTTGCTCGTCACTTAGCCTACATTTTATTTCATGGTTGGTTCACTTTGCTTAATCTTATTTGGAGGTATTTTGCTGAGACTGCTTGGCCTTGTGAGGTTCATGCTATCAGCAAAGACTGAACGGGAGTGCTTTCCTGGGTTAATTATAGTGCTGAATGGAGTGTCCAGCTTACTATGCAGCAAATCTGATGAACTGCAAACATGCTGTAGGGCCTTTTCTGCACTTTGAAGGTGATGTTCCTTCTTTGCACTCTGCTACTGCATTTGATCCATCTCTAAGTTGGTTAATCAAACAGCTGGGAAAAGCAGCATGTTATCTCCTAATCCGATGTATACATGACCCCTTCATAGTAGTTCTGACAAACTAAGCTCTTTAAGAAACAAAACTAGTATGTTCTTCAACATCCTTATTTATTTTTCCAGCCTTTTACTCCTGTAAATGTTTTAAAGTTAGCCTGTACGGCATATTTTCAATATGCTGGCAACTTAATAAGAAAGGGCACTTTAAAGCCAAGAGTCTAAATACAATCCAAATACTGATAGAACCAGATTGAGATAGACAGAGTGAAGTTTTAGAATTTGCAAGACAAACAGAACAGATGCAGGTACTGCATAAACAGAAAGATGAAACAACAGAAAACTGCAGGAAAGCACATGTGGTGCATAGCAGTGAGGAATATTCACTGAACGGCGGGGAAAGACAAGAGTAAGTAAGGCAAACCAGTGAGCATAGAAAAAAAGAGGTCACACGGGTTTCTGCTTGGACTTTTTTCTTCTTGCCACAAGAGGGTGTATTCCACTACAGTTACAGTAAAACATGCTTTTACAGAAGCCTTCACTGTATATGTAAAGCTCATGTTTTCAAGTCGCATGGCTTTCAGCCTTAACAGATACAGCACTTACGATAGCCTGTGCTGATAGACACTGAGCTCTACTTGCCCTATGCGCATACCTGCCAAGTGAGGACTAGCATTTATTAGGAGATACTCTCTTTCCCCCTTCTCCATCCTCTTCCCCTGACTCATTCACTTCTCTCAAGAGCCCCTCCATGAAGACTTTTCTCGTCTCATGAGGAGAAGTCAAATAACTATTCCAGGAATACACACATGTTATAGTTTGTCTTTCCTCAGGAATTCCTGAGCTCCTCCTTCTGCTATCCCTGATATGAAAACGCAGGGAGAGGAGGAAAGTGATCAGAATTAGCAGGACAGAATTGTTTCTGTGTTAGAGGACAGGGCAAAAGAGGGTAGGCAGCCCAAAGGATTCCCAAGTAAAAAGGGGGAAATGTACCTATTGGTGTCTTGGATCCAAACATCTGGGATTCTGCAATACTTACTGAAGCATTTTTGGTTAATGCTTCACATTCAAAAATCCCAGCTTTCTCAGGATTTGGACCAAAACAGGGAGCTACCAAGACCAAAGTCATTTTGCAGCTGGTTTTTTTTTTTTTCTGCTTTAAACTTCATTTGAAACAAGTAAGAATTTTTTTCTGCAAATTTAACCATACATAAATTAATGAAACTTTTACCAATAGATCAGAGAAAACATAAGTATTCATCAGCTGTTGTGTTTAGAAACTGGAGCAAATATTGAATTATGGCACAAGCAAAACCTGCAAGAAAAAGTACATACTTTCAGAATGAAAAAGCTAAACTAAAACACATTCCTGTAAGATTTAAATTAAGTCAAACCAAGCCTCAAGCAGTTAGTGCCAGGGCCTTAACAGCAAAACAGAAGTACGAAGGGTTCAGCAACAACTAGCTGAGTGCCAGCACTGACACCTGAATCTTGAGCTTGTAACAAAACCAGAATGATTTCTGGAGAGTGCCTATTAAAAAAAGGCCAGTCTTAAGGCAATTCAAAAGCAGGTTTTTTGCATAAGAAAATTAACATGCAGGAGTACACGCAATGCAAGTTAGAATATGGTCCTAGTATACAGTTTGCTCTCTTTAATTTTCTTTTTTGCATTAGGAGTAAAGATAAGCTACATGGAGCCAAAATGCAGATATTCTCCCGAGATGAACAGACAGAACAGGTTATCTTTAAGTGATTTCCCCAGGTTATCATAATTTTAAAAGATAATGTGTGCCATTACAGTTACATTAATCACCACAACACGGCATGATAGCTCATTTACATGCAGCGTCAATTTATAGCATGCTTATCTAAATCAGTAGCCTCTAGGTGGCTAATGTTTATAAGCCTCTAAGGGAGAACCAAAGGCAACAAGTTCTTCCATGCATGAACTGCCCAGCTGTACGTTAGAGACTTTGACAGCCACCACACAAAGATGGGAATACGCAACATCAAATCTGGAAAGCAAGATTTTTCTCAGATAGGCATAAGGTAGCTATTTAGTATTTGTCCCTGGGCCCAAGCAGCATGCCAAAATCCCTTCAGCTGGAGAGCTGAATCATTTCTCTTCTGACCTCTGTTGGATCATCAAGCCAAAGGACACCCCTGCCAGCCTGCGCATACAGTCCCCGATAATTCCTCTCCCATAGCCGACACAAATGACTGCTGATCAATACCGGCTTCCGTCTTCCACTGATTAGGAACGCCTCCAAGCCCAGGTGATATTTTTGTAAAGCAAACCAGAACTCTAATATTCTAGAAAGTTGTATCATGACAGATCTCCCCTATTAAGTCCTCAAAGACATCTGCACGCTCTTCTCCATGACTGTCCCTTTCAGAAGCACACAGCAAACTGGGCATAGAAAAGTACATCACCGGTCCCCCACTACGCAGAATTTGAATACCCAAGTGCTAGAAACCAATTTAGAAAATCAGTAAAATCTACCCATCAGCACTGAATCTAAAATTTCCAAGATCAAGTTGGAAATGCCAAAATGACAGATTTTTAAATTGGAAATGCCCAGGCACCTCTAAGCTCCATGTCAGTGTGTCAGTCAGGCACAGCTCTGACTAGAAGCAAGAACAAAAAGTTTTCCAGGCAAGTACAAGTCCAGGTCAATTCACTAAAAACAAACAAGAAGATAGGGAAGGCTGCTTTGATACCCCCACCAAGAATGAGCTGCAAGTTCTGACCAGATCTGACGACTGGTACCTGGCAATCCAGAACTACGAAACTACGAATATACACTGAAAAGTAACAAGCTTCAAGAAAGCTCCGGTTTTATCACCACATTTATATTTGAAATAACTTTTAGAAAAGAAAGTACTAAGAGGCTTAAGTCTGATGCCAGGAAGAAATGTTCTGAGAAGTCCTCTCTTTGTCCCTCACTGGAGTGCTATAAAAATGACAACGCTGTAACAGAAACACTTCACAAATTCAATTCCAGCCCAGCACTCCTACTCCGTGCTGTTTGAAACAAAGATTGTTATCAGTAATAGTTTTCCTGAATGGAGCCTGAAATGAAAACAAACATACACACAGGGAAGCTTAATACATTAGCTATATAAAAACAGGATAAATTAATACCCAATTAGCTCAGAGGGAATACCTGTTCTTCTATTACCAGTATGTGGAACCATCCAAATAAACCCCATGTATATAAGGAATTGAAACAGAGTATATCTGCACACACCATGTTTAAACTACTGTGCATATTAACAACATATAGTAACAATAAAATGTAATTAAGCCATAACGTGAAGCCACGCTAACTGGGAGACAACAGCGGCCCCTGGAACAGACGCTAAACTTGTCCTTCTGAAATATATCTGCATATGTAGTTTTTTTAATATGGTTTATGGATTTACATATTTTAGAGCCTGAAGTGACTGCTGCAGTCACTCAGCTGTAATCTCTCTATGTAACACATTGAATTGTTCCCAGAAGTTTGACTGAGGTACATCTTACAAAAAGAAATATCTAATTCTATCTTAAAAGATTATAAATGACTCTACCAGCTCTCTTCTCCTAAAGTTTTACTACTAATTTAACTACAGCACTGCTTCTGATTTCAAGGTTGAATCTGCCTGATTCCCCGTTGTTTCTCATTAAATCACCAGATCTCTTCTACATCTGTATATATATTTGCATATGCGGTATGTATCTATTTATATATGGGTATTTTTATATAGACATGTCACCTCTCAACCTCTGTGCTGCTAGTGGAAAGATAGACCTGTGATTATTTTTGCTTCCTTCCTTTGAGCTCCCACCTGTGCGCAAGTGTCCTGGGGTATGCTGAAAAAGCCAGACCATCTCCCCCTTTTTTTCTGCCTGTTGCCATTTGAACTTGTCAACATTTACTTCTTTGAACAGTGCACTGTATCAGAAACTCATATTAAGATAGTCAAGATACAATGCCCAGATCCTTTTCTGCACCACTGTTGGTGCAAATACAGTCTTCCAGGGCTTAATATTATATGCCTTCTTTTTGCCCAGCAGCATTACTTTTGACTTGGTTACATCAAAATGAACTACGTGGGACTGCGAACACAGTCAACAATCCAGATCACGGGGTGGGGGG